ATACCATGTATTATTATCATGTGTTATTATCATGTGTTATTACCATGTGTTATTATCATGTCTTATTATCATGTGTTATTACCATGTCTTATTATCATGTGTTATTACCATGTCTTATTATCATGTGTTATTACCATGTGTTATTATCATGTGTTATTACCATGTGTTATTACCATGTGTTATTATCATGTGTTATTACCATGTGTTAAATCAAATCAAATCAAATCAAATCAAATTGTATTGGTCACATGCGCCGAATACAACAGGTGCAGACATTACAGTGAAATGCTTACTTACAGCCCTTAACCAACAGTGCATTTATTTTAAACAAAAAAAGTAAGAATAAAACAACAACAAAAAAGTGTTGAGAAAAAAAGAGCAGAAGTAAAAATAAAGTGACAGTAGGGAGGCTATATATACAATAGAATAAAGTGACAGTAGGGAGGCTATATATACAGGGGGGTACCGTTGCATAGTCAATGTGCGGGGGCACCGGCTAGTTGAGGTAGTTGAGGTAATATGTACATGTGGGTAGAGTTAAAGTGACTATGCATAAATACTTAACAGAGTAGCAGCAGCGTAAAAAGTATGGGGTGGGGGGGCAGTGCAAATAGTCCGGGTAGCCATGATTAGCTGTTCAGGAGTCTTATGGCTTGGGGGTAGAAGCTGTTGAGAAGTCTTTTGGACCTAGACTTGGCACTCCGGTACCGCTTGCCGTGCGGTAGCAGAGAGAACAGTCTATGACTAGGGTGACTGGAGTCTTTGACAATTTTGAGGGCCTTCCTCTGACACCGCCTGGTATAGAGGTCCTGGATGGCAGGGAGCTTTGCCCCTGTGATGTACTGGGCCGTACGCACTACCCTCTGTAGTGCCTTGCGGTCAGAGGCCAAGCAGTTGCCATACCAGGCGGTGATGCAACCAGTCAGGATGCTCTCGATGGTGCAGCTGTAGAATTTTTTGAGGATCTGAGGACCCATGCCAAATCTTTTTAGTCTCCTGAGGGGGAATAGGCTTTGTCGTGCCCTCTTCACGACTGTCTTGGTGTGTTTGGACCATGATAGTTCGTTGGTGATGTGGACACCAAGGAACTTGAAGCTCTCAACCTGTTCCACTACAGCCCCGTCGATGAGAATGGGGGCGTGCTCAGTCCTCTTTTTTTTCCTGTAGTCCACAATCATCTCCTTTGTCTTGGTCACGTTGAGGGAGAGGTTGTTGTCCTGGCACCACACGGCCAGATCTCTGACCTCCTCCCTATAGGCTGTCTCATCGTTGTCGGTGATCAGGCCTACCACTGTTGTGTCGTCGGCAAACTTAATGATGGTGTTGGAGTCGTGCCTGGCCATGCAGTCATGGGTGAACAGAGAGTACAGGAGGGGACTGAGCACGCACCCCTGAGGGGCCCCCGTGTTGAGGATCAGTGTGGCAGATGTGTTGTTACCTACCCTTACCACCTGGGGGCGGCCCGTCAGGAAGTCCAGGATCCAGTTGCAGAGGGAGGTGTTTAGTCCCAGGATCCTTAGCTTAGTGATGAGCTTTGAGGGCACTATGGTGTTGAATGCTGAGCTGTAGTCAATGAATAGCATTCTCACGTAGGTGTTCCTCTTGTCCAGGTGGGAAAGGGCAGTGTGGAGTGCGATAGAGATTGCATCATCTGTGGATCTGTTGGGGCGGTATGCAAATTGGAGTGGGTCTAGGGTTTCTGGGATTATGCTGTTGATGTGAGCCATGACCAGTCTTTCAAAGCACTTCATGGCTACAGACGTCAGTGCCACGGGTCGGTAGTCATTTAGGCAGGTTATCTTAGAGTTCTTGGGCACGGGGACTATGGTGGTCTGCTTGAAACATGTTGGTATTACAGACTCAGTCAGGGACATGTTGAAAATGTCAGTGAAGACACTTGCCAGTTGGTCAGCACATGCTCGGAGTACACGTCCTGGTAATCCGTCTGGCCCTGCGGCCTTGTGAATGTTGACCTGCTTAAAAGTCTTACTCACATCGGCTACGGAGAGCGTGATCACATAGTCGTCCGTTATTACCATGTGTTATTACCATGTGTTATTATCATGTGTTATTACCATGTGTTATTACCATGTGTTATTACCATGTGTTATTACCATGTGTTATGGCTTATCATGTCTTGTGCTGTTGGTGGATGTTTCCTGGATCTAGTATCTAACTAACCTCTCGCTGTCCCTTCCCATACCCTCTCTCTCGCTCTCTTCCCCGCCTCTCTCTCTCTGTCCCCTGCCTCTATCGCTCCCCCTATCCTCTCTCTCTATCTCCCCCCTTCTACCCGCTCTCTCTCTCTCGCCTATCCTCTCTCCCCCCCTCCAGTCTGCCAGTATCCGTGAGGAGCGTGGGGATGAGGTGGAGGTGGAGCTAACAGACAGCCAGAGGAAGCTGACCCTGTCCAGAGAGGAGGTCCAGAGGATGAATCCTCCCAGGTTCAGTAAGGTGGAGGACATGGCTGACCTCACCTGTCTCAATGAAGCCTCCGTCCTACACAACCTCAGAGAGAGATACTACTCTGGCTTGATATACGTGAGTGTACAGTACACACCCACACACATACACACGCTCATGCAGACACACACACACACACAGGCCACAACACACACACACACACACACACACACACACACACACACACACACACACACACACACACACACACACACACACACACACACTATGTGTGGATTATCAGGGAAGGGTGTGAGTGGAGGTGGGTGGGTAGGGGCGACCAGTCAGAATCCACAGTGGGTGGGTAGGGGCGACCAGTCAGAATCCACAGTGGGTGGGTAGTGGCGACCAGTCAGAATCCACAGTGGGTGGGTAGGGGAGACCTGTCAGAATCCACAGTGGGTGGGTAGGGGAGACCTGTCAGAATCCACAGTGGGTGGGTAGGGGAGAGACCAGTCAGAATCCACAGTGGGTGGGTAGGGGAGCGACCAGTCAGAATCCACAGTGGGTGGGTAGGGGAGCGACCAGTCAGAATCCACAGTGGGTGGGTAGGGGAGACCTGCCAGAATCCACAGTGGGTGGGTAGGGGAGACCTGTCAGAATCCACAGTGGGTGGGTAGGGGAGCGACCAGTCAGAATCCACAGTGGGTGGGTAGGGGCGACCAGTCAGAATCCACAGTGGGTGGGTAGGGGAGACCTGCCAGAATCCACAGAGTCATCTTGTTATCAGTACCTTCACACTGTTGCCTGCATATTTCATTCATAAACCTGTGTTGTAGCACTAGCTGGTTGACTGATTATCCCGACAGCTATCTTTCTTTTCCATTAGAAATGCCTCCTTACACATTCCACCTGGTCCTACTCATACTATAGGTTAATGGGTCCTACTCATACTGTAGGTTAATGGGTCCTACTGATATTGAGATTAAGCATGGTATTTTAGTTATCATTGAACTTTATGTATATCTAACCTGGGTGTGTGTGTGTGTTTGCAGACATACTCGGGCCTGTTCTGTGTGGTGATCAACCCCTATAAGAACCTGCCCATCTACACAGAGTCTATAGTGGAGATGTACCGAGGGAAGAAACGCCATGAGATGCCCCCTCACATCTACGCTATATCAGAGGCTGCCTACCGCAGCATGCTACAAGGTAACCCTAACCCCTGACCTCTAACCCCTGACCCCCTCACATCTATGCTATATCAGAGGCTGCCTACCGCAGCATGCTACAACATAACCCTAACCCCTGACCTCTAACCCCTGACCCCCTCACATCTATGCTATATCAGAGGCTGCCTACCGCAGCATGCTACAACGTAACCCTAACCCCTGACCTCTAACCCCTGACCCCCTCACATCTATGCTATATCAGAGGCTGCCTACCGCAGCATGCTACAAGGTAACCCTAACCCCTGACCTCTAACCCCTGACCCCCTCACATCTATGCTATATCAGAGGCTGCCTACCGCAGCATGCTACAACATAACCCTAACCCCTGACCTCTAACCCCTGACCCCCTCACATCTATGCTATATCAGAGGCTGCCTACCGCAGCATGCTACAACGTAACCCTAACCCCTGACCTCTAACCCCTGACCCCCTCACATCTACGCTATATCAGAGGCTGCCTACCGCAGCATGCTACAACGTAACCCTAACCCCTGACCTCTAACCCCTGACCCCCTCACATCTATGCTATATCAGAGGCTGCCTACCGCAGCATGCTACAAGGTAACCCTAACCCCTGACCTCTAACCCCTGACCCTTAACCTCTAACCCCTAACCCCCTCACATCTACGCCACATCAAAGTAATTTGTCAGTTATGATTTTCATTTGCGCATATTTGTTGAACAGTTTCATTTCAATAATAATGTTTTTGTTTCTCAAAATCATTGTCACGTGGTTAATCATAAAAATATTAATTAAAATTATACAAATATAAAAGTTACAATTCAACTAATGCGAGAGCACCAGCCTCTGCATACATTGATAGGCTACACTGTGATCATTGGTGGCTAAATAGGCTAAATGAGCGCATGGAGCCCAGAGATGGCCAATGCAGCCGTTGGCATATAACTGCAATTGTCAACTAAGTAAAAATACATAAAACCCACAAATAAAAACAGTCGAAAATATACTAATGAAAATGTTGGTTCTTTCAATCACATTCATCTCTCTACTCAACTTGTCTTCCTCCCTTTCTATCTGTCTGGACTTGAGCTATTGCTAGTGAAGTGCAACATTGTATCAAATCAATCAACTGGGTCAGGCCCAAAGCTGTCTCTAGCAAGCTTGCAACATTGTATCAACTAGCCTATTCCAGGCCCTCAGAGTTTCCCCTAGCCAGTGAGCTCGGGACAGACAGCTGTTTTTGCGCAAGGGAAAGATATTTTATGACGTTTCCACTGGATATATGGGATCCTCAGATGATGACATTTTGCTCTTTCACACTGAGGCTTGGTGATTATCAAGGGGGAGATTGTTGGAAAAATAGGCCTATAGTGAGTAACTATTAGGCTGTCATTCGCAATGGATGTTGAAGAAACAGACTTTGTTGATTTACTGTGTGAGGTGAAGAAAACATTACTGAGAAGCTCAACTTATTAGTGGTGGACGTGGTGGCTAAGACAGTCACAAATCAAACTTTACTAGATGTCCACGCAGCAGGCCAGGTAGGCTGCTTCTATGCATGCTCAGGCGCGCGGTCCCTCAACATTAACAAGACAGAAAAACCAGACCCAAGCATGCTCATTGCTCACATGGAGCACTCCAAACAAAAGACAATAAAAAAAATAGATAATCGTAAATGATGGTTATGAAATAAACCAAAACTTGTTTCTCACAAGTGTATCAGGTTGTGAAATCTGCAAACAACATTTCTCGCCGAGAATTTGAACGGTAAATGACTGTAGGCCTAATTAGTAATACAATGCATTAGAAATTAATGTAACCAAATGACGGGGATTAACGGTTACGGTACATTTACTACTGGTGACATACACTACATGACCAAAAGTATGTGGACACCTGCTTGTCGAACATCTCATTCCAAAATCATGGGCATTAATATGGAGTTGGTCCCCTCTTTACTTCTATAACAGTCTCCACACTTCTGGCAAGGCTTTCCACTAGATGTTGGAACATTGCTGCGGGGACTTGCTTCCATTCAGCCACAAGAGCATTAGTGAGATCGGGCACTGATGTTGGGCAATTAGGCGTGGCTTGCAGTCGGCATTTAAATACATCCCAAAGGTGTTCAATAGGGTTGAGGTCAGGCCTCTGTGCAGGCCAGTCAAGTTCTTCCACACCGATCTCGACAAACCATTTCTGTATGGACCTCACTTTGTGCACGGGGGTATTGTCATGCTGAAACAGGAAAGGGCCTTCTCACAAACTGTTGCCACAAAGTTGGAAGCACAGAATCGTGTAGAATGTCATTGTATGCTGTAGCGTTAAGATTTCCCTTCACTGGAACTAAGGGGCCTAGCCCGAACCATGAAAAATAGCCCCAGACCATTATTCCTCCTCCACCAAACTTTACAGTTGGCACTATGCATTGGGGCAGGTAGCGTTCTCCTGGCATCCGCCAAACCCAGATTCATCCGTCGGACTGCCAGATGGTGAAGTGTGATTCATCACTCCAGAGAAGGCGTTTCCACTGCTCCAGAGTCCAATGGCGGCGAGCTTTACACCACTCCAGCCGACGCTTGGCATTGCGCATGGTGATCTTAGGCTCGTGTGCGGCTGCTCGGCCATGGAAACCCATTTCATGAAGCTTCGGATGAACAGTTATTGTGCTGACGTTGCTTCCAGAGGCAGTTTTGAACTCGGTAGTGAGTGTTGCAACATTTTTACGTGCTACATGCTTCAGCACTCAGCAGTCCCGTTCTGTGAGCTTGCGTGGCCTACCACTTCATGGCTGAGCCCTTGTTGCTCCTAGACGTTTCCACTTCACAATAACAGCACTTACAGTTGACCAGGGCAGCTCTAGCAGGGCAGAAATGTGAAGAAGTGACTTGTTGGAAAGGTGGCCTTCTTTGATGGTGCCATGTTGAAAGTAACAGAGCTCTTCAGTGAGGCCATTCTACTGCCAATGTTTGTCTATGGAGATTGTATGGCTGTGTGCTCGATTTTATACACCTTTCAGCAACGGCTGTGGCTGAAATTTGAAGGGGTGTCCACATACTTTTGTATATATAGTGTATGAAATGGGGAATTGATAAAAATAAACAATCAAAGAACAAACAATGAATGCGCAAGAATTGACGGGAGACAGCTCAGTGGATTCTGGAGAGCTGAGTGCATGCATTCTGGAGTGAGACAACCCATATCTTCGCCACACACCCCTCCCCTTCTTCTTGTCTCAAAATGTTTAATTATACTCAAGACATTATCTTCACACATATTTTAGATGCTTTTCACTGACAGCCGTAACTCAATAATCAACTAGTCCTTTTCCCATCCCGCTGCCTATGAAAGACTTCCTCATATGCTATTTCTCTCCTGTTCTATTGGTTTTCATATCAACTTTCTTTCGTTGTCCTGAAGCCAAATGCACAATCCTAGTCATATTAGCAACCCATCCTAGTTGTTGCATCTTTAGATTCACCCTCTTTCTAAGTTTCTAACACAGATTTTCATCTCTGTCATCAGGTGCATCAGGGGGGCTGTTTAGAATGGTGTTTTCCCTTTTTCCCACAAATTGTATTTTGGGTAATGGTTGAAAATGTTGTTTTATTGGCTGCTTCATTACAGGAGTTGCATGTTTTGTTAAGATGAATTACCATAATCTAAATGTGATTTCTCTCATTCTGAGCACCATGGGTAGATGCCCTAATGGGTTGCATACCCAATGCATATGTGTCTGATACATTTCTCAAATGGCCGGTAAATTAAAATCTTCCCGGCCACGTTGTCCTGTGCCACATTTTCCTAACGGAAACCCTGCTGACAGTGTAGCTGCCATATAAATCCATGTTTTTTGTGGAAGCATAGGGAAACAGTGGCAATGACAATATCTTGGTGCTGCAAATGGCAGTAGTAATGACAGTTCGTTCTAGGACTTTTCCCACGCTTCATGTATTATGATAGGAGTGTGACAAACAAACACTGATTGTGCCACTCTTCTCCATTTAAACCGGTTAGAGACTGATTGAGCAACATTTATTTTTTCAATTCATTAGATGACAAGACAGTCAGTCTCTCTCTCTCTCTCTCTCTCTCTCTCTTATTCTTTCTTTCTTTCAGTGTGACAGGTGTGTGTCTGTGTTCTGTGATCCTATTGATAATTGAACCAGTATGACCGGTATGTGTGCGTGTCCGTGCATGTCTGTGCGTATGCGTGCGTGTGTGTGTGCTTTCCTCTCTGTGTGTGTGTCCGTGCATCAGAGGAAACCTTAAAAAGAGTCAGACCGTTGTGTTGGAGTCTGTAGTGTGGGCTGGAGCATTGGTCTGAGGTCTGTTTGGAGAGACCACTTCTGTGGCTTTGACCTCCTTCCTCCTCAGTACACGACAATGCTGCTCAGTGAGAGCTGTTGAAATCACACACACACTGACAGCCTTTGTGTTTCAGTGAGGTTCTCTGAGATTGATTGACAAATGTATCGATGACCCTGTTGCAATGATTACTGGTGTAATAAATGAAGGTAGTACTGTTCAATGGATAATATGTGTGTGAGGTTGTCATATTCTACTTGTATTATTATTCTCTCACAGACAGGGAAGATCAGTCTATCCTCTGCACGTGAGTAACCTGGGGTTATTTATCTGTCTTGTTTGTCTGCCTGCCTGTCTGTCTGTTTGCCTGTCTGCCTGTCTGTCTGCCTGTCTTGTCTGTCTATCTGTTTGCCTGTCTGTCTGTTTGCCTGTCTGCCTGTCTGTCTGCCTGTCTTGTCTGTCTATCTGTTTGCCTGTCTGTCTTGTCTGCCTGTCTTGTCTGTCTGCCTGTCGTCCGTCCGTCTGTCTGAATTCCCACCATGGTAAATGATCCCAGTTTAGATTACTGAAGCTGAGTATAGCTTAGTTTCTGCTAGGATCCTGTTTTTAGAAGGTTCCAGCCTAGTCCCCCTCCAACATTAGGAGTATTTTTTTGTTTTTCTATATTCTCCTTTATTCCCATCCAACATAAACACCACGACTACTGTCTGTATCCTGCACACCTGCTCTCTGTTTATAGAGGAATACACTGCATGGTTCCTCTGTTCACTGGTGGCCTGCATGTGTGTATCTAGTTGTATTTTATATGCAAGGTGTGCGTGTCCTTTCTGTTATATGTGTTTGTGTTGTGTTTATATGTCCTCCAAAACTGGGTTGTATATGTGTATTTTTATAGAGGACCCTTGTGAAACGAGATGGGGTTTATGTGTGTGATTTTCTCATACTTGTTTCTGTGTGTGTCTGTGTGTCTGTGTGTGTGTGTCTGTGTGTCTGTGTGTGTGTGTGTGTGTGTGTGTGTGTGTGTGTGTGTGTGTGTGTGTGTGTGTGTGTGTGTGTGTGTGTGTGTGTGTGTGCGTGCGTGCGTGTGTGTGGGGGTGTGTGTGTGTGTGTGTGTGTGTGTGTGTGTGTGTGTGTGTGTGTGTGTGCGTGCGTGCGTGCGTGCGTGCGTGCGTGCGTGGGGGTGGGTGGGGGTGTGTGTGTGTGTGTGTGTGTGTGTGTGTGTGTGTGTGTGTGTGTGTGTGTGTGTGTGTGTGTGTGTGTGTGTGTGTGTGTGTGTGTGTGTTCCAGAGGCGAGTCTGGCGCAGGGAAGACAGAGAACACTAAGAAAGTCATCCAGTATCTGGCTCATGTGGCCTCGTCCCATAAGACTGGAACTCTGGGTAGAAACAAGGAGGCCTCACAGGTAAACTGGGGAAGGAGAGAGAGAGAGAGAGAGAGAGAGAGAGAGAGGAGTCTCTCTCTCTCTCTCCCTCTCTTCTCCCTCCAATCACGGGACGCCGATCCGCTATATGGAGGAAATGGGGAGACGGGGGAAAGGGATCCAAGAATGCCAGCGGATGTGATGAAAGAGATGCCTTGGAAGAAGGAAGATAAATAGGTTGAAATTGATTGATGGATGATGTTTTTTGTCTCACCAATGGAGAGGCTTGCTGCGGGCTGCCGTGTACCTTGTCTGACGGAGGAAGAGGATTAATTTATGCTTGGATGTGTATTGTCCCTGACTGAGGAAGAGGATGTCCTTGAGGATGAGTTTTATTGTCCTGACCTGGGAGAGGATTGATTGATGGCTGATGTTATTGTCCCTGACTGAGGAAGAGGGTTGATGATGGATGATGTTATTGTCTGACTGAGGGAGAGGATTGATTGATGGATGATGTTTATTGTCCTGACTGAGGAAGAGGATTGATTGATGGATGATGTTTATTGACCTGACTGAGGGTGAGAATTGATTGATGGATGATGTTTATTGTCCTGACTGAGAGAGGATTGATTGATGGATGATGTTTATTGTCCTGACTGAGGGAGAGGATTGATTGATGGATGATGTTTTTGTCCTGACTGAGGAAGATGATTGATTGATGGATGATGTTTATTGACCTGACTGAGGGAGAGGTTTGATTGATGGATGATGTTTATTGTCCTGACTGAGGGAGAGGATTGATTGATGGATGATGTTTATTGTCCTGACTGAGGGAGAGGTTTGATTGATGGATGATGTTTATTGTCCTGACTGAGGGAGAGGTTTGATTGATGGATGATGTTTATTGTCCTGACTGAGGGAGAGGATTGATTGATGGATGATGTTTGTTGTCCTGACTGAGGGAGAGGTTTGATTGATGGATGATGTTTATTGTCCTGACTGAGGGAGAGGATTGATTGATGGATGATGTTTTTGTCCTGACTGAGGAAGATGATTGATTGATGGATGATGTTTATTGACCTGACTGAGGGAGTGGATTGATTGATGGATGATGTTTATTGTCCTGACTGAGGGAGAGGATTGATTGATGGATGATGTTTATTGTCCTGACTGAGGGAGAGGATTGATTGATGGATGATGTTTATTGTCCTGACTGAGGAAGATGATTGATTGATGGATGATGTTTATTGTCCTGACTGAGGGAGTGGATTGATTGATGGATGATGTTTATTGTCCTGACTGAGGGAGAGGATTGATTGATGGATGATGTTTATTGTCCTGACTGAGGGAGAGGATTGATTGATGGATGATGTGTATTGTCCTGACTGAGGGATTGGATGGGGAAGAGAATAAGGCAGGAAGAGAGTGAAAGAATGAGAAGAGAAGGGGAGAAAAGATGGCAGAGAGGAGGAGTGGTGTAGGGATGACTTGTTATGACTTGATATGAAGTTGATGTATGTTGAAACTATGGAAACAAGGTGTACTGCTACATTTTGCTTTACACTACATGTTGCTACTACTCCATGACTTTCTGTAAACTACTGTCCTTCTTGCTGATCAAGTGCTGCTGGAGGAATCATTATAGAGTGACCTCTATAATCATTCCTGTCTCTCTGCTCCTCTCCTCTCTCCCTGCCCTCTCCTCTCATTCCCCCTCTCTTGTACTATCCTCCCCCTACTGCCCTTTATCCTCCCCTTTTTCTACTGTTTCCCTTCTCTTCTTTCTCCTATCCTTTCCTCCCTCTCTCCCTCCTCCCTCTTGATTTTGCACTCTCTCCTACCCTCTCTCCTCCAACCTCCCCCTCTTTCCTCTCCTCCTTCTCTCCTGTGTATTCAGATGGATGGCAGTAGGTCGTTGCCCAGGGGCAGTTCTATGGTGAACAGGGTGAGTGGGCTCTATCCTCTCCTGTCTTCACCTCTTCCCTTCTCTTCTGATTCTGGTGGTGCTCCAGACTGACGTCCTTTAACAACACCATTACTGATGTGTTCCTCCATAATTGTCAAGCGTTTTGTTTTTGTTTTGTACTGCATTCATTGGTCTGTTGTTGTCTTTTGTTTGTTTGTTTGTCTCATCTGTTAATTCTCCCAACCTTCCCCCTTTTCTCAATCTCTCAGAGTGTGCAATATGTGAGTATAATATAAAGTATAAGGACTATTATCACCACTGTGGGCTGATTGAGGTCAAACATGGCAGATAGATGTAGAATGTATAGAACAGACATAATTATCTTGTTCTGTATTAGAGAGAATCATGTCTGTTCTAGACAATACATTTCTATCTGAATGTTCTGTAACGTTGCTCCCTCCTGAATGAAAGCCCTGCTGTTCTCTGGTGTCTATGGGTGTTTGGCTTTTTACTGTACGGTATATCTGTAGCAACACCCAATGGGTGCTAGAATAAGTGGTGATGGGCGGGTCTATGAATCTCTCCCAATGTCCTGATTGGCTGGATTAACGACCTGTCAATCGTCAAACCTGTCACGATCGTTGAGAGACGGGTCAGACCAAGGTGCAGCGTGGTATGCGTACATGTTTATTAATACGAATAAACACTTGACAAAATAACAAAACAACGAACCGTGACGCTCAAACAGTGGCTACAACACAACAAGCCAAACGCGAGTCAAGATCCCACAACTAAGGTAGGCAACCAGGCTACCTAAGTATGATCCCCAATCAGAGACAACGAGCGACAGCTGCCTCTGATTGGGAATCACACCCGGCCAAACATAGAAATATCAACCTAGATTTACCACATAGAAATACAATAACATAGATCTCAACAGAAACTCACACCCTGACCCAACCAACAAGAGTTCTCTAGATCAGGGCGTGACAAAACCATATACAGTTGCCCAATGAAAATGCTCTGGTTTCCTGATTGACAGCTGGTGTTAATCCAGCCAAAAGGTGGGTCTCAGAATCATTCCCCCATCAGTGAAGGAAGGCTTTGGAATTCACTGATAATGCACAAAAGCTTGGTTTTAAAACAACCGCCGATCTGAAAACCAGATAGGTGTACGCAATATGGTGGAAGCTCCCCTAAACCCTCTGGATGCGTAGATAGAGCCATCACCTTAGTGATTACACCTATCCATTCTTTCCTGATCTGCTAGCACTGAAGGGGTATTGGCTAGAGGTTGTTCTCAGACTGGGCTATAGACCTCCCTCCCCATCCTCCCTTTACAGTGAATGAGCTCATAGCTTCCATTCTGGTGGCCACACCTGTGAATGATGCCCAAATACAACAGGCATTTACCATGTAGAATAGTTAAGCATACATTCTGGCTGTCCAGGAATTTCCACACATACCTGTCTGTGTGCGTGCTTTTGTGTGTGTGCGTGCTTTTATGTGCGTGTGTTTTTGCGTGCGTGTGTGTGCACTTGGTGCTTTGTCTGGTAGTATGTGCATTGTTCGCAGCCTGAGCTTTGTTCCCATACAAAGCCCTGGCTTCTTGCTGTGTGTAGCTTTGAGTGCTGCTTGGCTGACGTTCTTTACCTGCCGCTTTTAAATCCACCTACAGTAGCTCCCTAGATAATGACACAGCTAATGCTAATGCTAATGCTAATACTACTGTACTTAAAGCTATAGTCAGAGCTAGTAGTGCTATAGCTTGAGCCACTGTGTAGCTAAAGCTAGAGCTAGCATCTGCTGCCATACTTTCTGATCTAACGCAGTGGCTCTCAACTGACACGACAAATACATGTGAAATAGTGCAAATGCACAGGGACAGGCTATTACACAGCCTCTGTGCTAGTTGGTTTCTGCTTAAGCCAACTTAGCCGTTGTCTTGCCAAGGTCTGGCCGAGGTCTTGGCAAGGCAACAATGTAGAGTTGTTGAATGCACAAAGTCTGGCACCTTGGCTGGCATATGATAGATGGCTAGATGCTGAAAATGTCAATAAGAGAACACATGAAAAGCTATTTATCTCTAGATTACTCTGGGCTTACCAGAGTTGAGACCACTGGGTTACTGCCTGGTTTACTGGCTGATGGGTCTGGTCTCCCCTCTTCTGTACTGGGATTGGGGGAACAGTATTTTGGGTTGTGGAGTTGCTTTGTGATGTATATCCCAGTGTTGATGAAGTGCCTGTCCTGTCCTCCAGGGGGAGCTAGAGAGACAGCTGCTACAGGCCAACCCCATCCTGGAGGCCTTCGGAAACGCCAAGACCGTCAAGAACGACAACTCCTCCAGATTTGTAAGAATGTATTAATATCTAGATTGATCCCAGATCTACAGTATATTTTTTATTGGCTGTATTTTTCTTTACTGTGTTTGCTGTTGAGTTTGCATAATTAGAAAATGTGTATGTTAGATCATCAACTGACACATTTCTTCTCCTCTTGTCTCTCAGGGCAAATTCATCCGTATTAACTTTGACGTGGCTGGATACATTGTCGGTGCCAACATTGAGACCTGTATCCTTCCTCTGCAGTCAGACTCTGTTTCAAGTCCCAACCTAAATATTATGGTTGGAACTCATTAGTATGCTCACCGGTGGGTCATTGCTAATCTGTCATCAGGTAGAAGTTGCCCTTACACACAGGGGTCAGCTCAGGGAAGCAAGGGATGCAAAACTTCCCTTAGATTAGTGTCTGGGGCTATTGAACCCTTCCTTAAACCCTGACCTCAGACCTGCTGGAGAAGTCGAGGGCGATCCGCCAGGCCAAAGATGAGAGGACCTTCCACATCTTTTACCAACTCATGTGTGGAGCTTCAGAGGCCACCAGAGGTGAGAGATGGGGAGAGGAGGAAGAGAGGGTAGGAGAGGATGAAGAGAGGGTAGGATAGAGAGGAATAGGAGTTGCTGGAGGGTGAGGCGGAGGCGGATCTCGTTTTCTCTTATGGCTTTTCTGTCTTCGCCTCGCTGGTTCTCTGCGTCATTGCGTGCTTTTTTCTCCTTTTCCCGGGCTGGTTAACTCGCTCTCTGTTGGTTTTTTTTTCCCCTCCCTCTTCTCTTTTCTCCGTTTTCAACTGGCTCCCCCCTCTCTCCTGTCTCCTCTCTCTCTCCCTCTCTGTCTCTCGTAGCGGACCTTCTCCTGGTAGTGCTGACCCGTACGGTTTTCTGAGTGGCGGTGCTAATCCTGTTCCAGGTCAGAAGTGACGGCTGACACTTCAATACTCACCAGACCATGGACTCTATGACCATCATGGGATTCACACCTGAGAGTCTCTGTGTAAGCGAGGAGAGAGATGAGAGGAGGAGAGAGATAGTAGATAGAGTAGAGCAGTATGAGAGTATCTTCTATGAGATTTCGCTCGCTTAGTCGCGCTTTCGTTACTGCTCTTTTTCTTTGGCTGTTTCGTTGTGGTTTTATGAGGGTGGCAGAATACAGAGCTTTCCTCAGACCCTTGGAGTAAAAAACTATATTTTCTCTCCCTCCCTCTCTTTCTGCCTGTCTCTCTTTTCCTTCCTCTTTTTCCCCGTCCTCTCCTAGCCATGTGAGGTGATCTCCTGCGTGTGCTCCAGTTTGGGAACATCTCGTTCACTAAGGAGAAGAACCAGGACCAGTGCTCCATGCCTGACGACACGGCTGCCCAGAAACTGAGCCACCTGCTGGGCATCAGCGTGCTGGAGTTCTCCCGGGCCATCCTCACCCCGAGGATTAAAGTAGGACGCGAGTACGTCCAGAAGGCCCAGACCAAAGAACAGGTGAGACACGCACACACATGAATACACTAGTCCTGAGAATATCTAAGACTAAGAGCATAGTATTTGGTACAAATCACTCCATAAGCTCTAAACCTCAGCTGAATTGGGTAATGAATAATATGGCTTTTGAGCAAGTTGAGGAGACTAAACTTCTTGGTGTCATCTTAGACTGTACGTTTTCATGGTCAAGGCATATTGATTTAATTGCTGTAAAGATGGGGAGAGGTTTGTCTGTGATAAAGAGATGCTCAGCATTCTTAACACCACACATGAGCAAAGAAGTCCTTCAAGCTGTAGTTTTATCATATCTTAACTACTTCCAGGTGATATGGTCAGGTGTTGCAAAGAAGGACATAGGAAAGCTGCAGCAGCCTCAGAACAGAACAGCACGTCTTGCCCTTCAATGTTCACAGAGAGATAATGTCAACAAAATGCATGTTGATCTCTTCTGGCTTAAAGGAAAGATTGACTGTATCACTTCTTGTTTTTTGCAAGAAATATAATGTGTTAAAAACTCCAAACTGTCTATTCAATCAACTAACATACAGCTCTGACAGACATGCGTACCCCACAAGACATGCCACAAGAAGTCTCTTCACAGTCCCTTAAAGCAACACACAGTAATATATAGAGCCATGGTCACATGGAACTCCCTGCCATCTCAAATCACTCAAGCTAGCTGCAAAATTAGCTTTAAAAAAACCAAATATAAACAGCACATCACAGCACAGCTCCTCTCCCCTTTCTGACCTAAATAGCTTGTTGTATCCTCTGCCTCCCGAGCACATCTGGTGTTTGGGTTAAAGATAAGATGTGCCCTTGGCATTAGGATATCAGGACCTGCTTAGAGAAAGCAATTGTAAACAAAGCCTCAGTAGAGTAAGGACTTTGGTCGTGCTCCATATGATGATGAAGTTCAAGAGATTCAACATTGCTGAGGTGAAAACTGTAGTTGAAGCTTTAGCTGGAGGAAACTGATGTATGGGACTGTTCATTTTATGAATGGCTCCACCCCGGTGGGACTCTGTTCATTTTATGAATGGCTCCACCCCGGTGAGACTCTGTTCATTTTATGAATGGCTCCACCCCGGTGGGACTGTTCATTTTATGAATGGCTCCACCCCGGTGGGACTGTTCATTTTATGAATGGCTCCACCCCAGTGGGACTCTGTTCATTTTATGAATGGCTCCACCCCGGTGGGACTGTTCATTTTATGAATGGCTCCACCCCGGTGGGACTCTGTTCATTTTATGAATGGCTCCACCCCGGTGGGACTCTGTTCATTTTATGAATGGCTCCACCCCGGTGGGACTGTTCATTTTTATGAACTACTCCACCAAGTTACACTTTACCGTAAAGAGAACCCACTGTGGGTGGTGACTAACAGAAGGCCAGATTTTAAGAGAAGATAAACGATGTGTTGTTGTCTACAGTGATATACTGTAGACTAAGTGTAGACAAGTGTGTATTCTTATTCTAAATGTATGTAGTTATGTCCTTGAGTTGTTGTTGTCTATTAATGTGTTGTGTCATGTCATGTTTTACGTTTTGTGTGAACCCCAGGAGGAGGAGCTGTGTTAGAATCAGCTGATGGGGATCCTAATCAAATACACACACACACACACACACACACACACACACACACACACACATACAACTGGTGTAAGAAGCACATGCTGGTTTCTTAAAATCCCTAAATGAATAATGCTCTCTCTCTCTTCTGTCTATCTCACTCTAGGCTGACTTTGCAGTGGAGGCGTTGGCCAAAGCTACATATGAGCGTCTGTTCCGTTGGCTGGTCCACAGGATCAACCGAGCGCTGGACCGCAGACAGAGACAGGGAGCCTCTTTCATAGGCATACTGGACATAGCAGGCTTCGAGAAACTCCATTTTGGGGGTTTTTTTTTGTTGGTGATTTTCAGGTGTGTGTGTCGTGGAGTGTTGCCTTTC